CATCGATCGGCTGATTGGGAATCCGAGGGCAGTCGGATGATGGTAGATTCATGCTCGGATCGTACGGTGGGGAAGGAACAGAGGATGAAGATGGGGAAGAGGATTAGGAGGATGAGAGGGATTGGTGATTTTGCGAACTGGGGCTCCATTGTTTGAATTTAAATTAAAGGCGAGCTCGTTTCTTTTCTTTCTTGTTTGTTGATGAGAAAGAAAAGAAAAGAAAAGCTCGCCTTTTTATTCTTATGCAGTTGATGTTATGGAATTGTTGGGGAAGCTAACCCAATCCTCTCCTAAAATCTTCCCCAAATTCAAGAAAATTGAAGGGAAATCATTTAATTTCCGAGCTGCAAATCCTTCTTCTTCCCTGAACCTTCCCCAAATTTGAGAGATTGGTTCTCCAAATCAGGTTAGGTTAGGTTAGATTGGTTTATGATGCTCCGAAATCTAAGTTTACCATGGAAATGTTGTTCATTGACTGCTTACTCAATATATCCTCATTTCGGTGGGAAAAAAATAGGGGGGAAAAGGATCGACCTTCGAGTTCATCCCTAATTTTTAGGGTTGAACGAAGGGGACGAAGATGAGACACTTGTTTGACGCGTAATGCCTTATTGGGTTAATTGTGCCTTGGATCTTGCGAGACGGCGTCGTTTATGCGTCAAATAGATTTTGACACTGAACGCTGAATTCGGCCGGAATATGGGGACAGCCATTGCCTTGGACATCGACTTTGAGTTTGTGTGCTCGTCTTTTTTCAGTAAATCTGTTTTTAATAGATTACAACTATTACGTGTCTTGAATCTTGATTGATTAATTTTGGTGTCGTCTTTTTCCTTTTCTAAAAACACGTAAAAGAAGTTTACCACCCAAAGAAATAAGGAGCAACAACCTAATTAATTTTGGGCCGAAAGGGAAACTTATTGCAAATTACAATACTCTTACCAAAGAGAACTTACACTTACAATCATGGGTTGCAAGTTATGTAAATTACCATTATTTCCCAAACTATATACTCAGACTAATAGGCCAAGAAAACATTCAATATTTTGTCAAAGATAGGTTATAATGAGGGCTGATAGTAAGGGGTCCTTAATAGTAGCCGGTCAATGAAAATATTATTATTGAACACCTCAATATAGTCCTCTCGTTAGAAAAGTTACGGGCTTAGCGCACATGGCAGATTTGTTATTTATTATTTCGTAAACTTTTCCAAGTTACTTTACTTTGGGAGCTTCTATAATGAGGATGCTATTTGAGGAGTTTATTTGAGGAGGCCCATCTCACCATCAAAAGGGGTGTGGACCCCCCAATGCACCCCACCCCCCCCCATGTGCTTTGTTTTTTGTTGTTGATGGTGAGATTTCACCTCCTCAAATAACTTCCTCACTCAACCTCCTCATTCTAGCCTTTCCGCTTTACTTTAGCTCACGGTCCAGTCTATTTCTAACCCAGTTTATCACCTTCAACTGTAGCCCATCACCTAAATAAGTCCAACTCAGCCCATAGTTGTAGCATTATAGCATGGGCCTCCATGTATACCGCCTGTCAGCCCATAGTTTTTTGTTTCATGTTTTTTTTCCCCCTTAATAACATTTATATTCTTTCTATTTTCTTGATTTGGTGAAGTCTAGAATGGTGGAACAAGAGACACATGGTGTTGGAGCAGCCATGAAATGGGACAGGAGCAACTGTAATAACTAACTGGAAGCGCATGTCTCTGTAGAGGGAGAGCAAGAAAGGCGGAGGGAGGAGCCAAGGTGAGCTTTGAAAAAGTCAGGGCATATTTATTTAGAAATTCACGTTTTGACAGGGCGATCCGGTGAGTTGAGAAATTGAGACCAACAGTTTCTCCTAAACATAAGACCCATCCTTCCACTATATGAACCCCATCTTGTCCTCAATTCTTCCTCAGCCTCAACAGCGCCCTCCCCTCCTCCAACAAACAACAACAAAAGGTAGATAAATAAAAAAGAGAGAGCTTCATCAGAAGAACTCCAAAGACTCGCTCATTCGTCCCATACTTTATCAAAAATCATGGGAGGCTGTGCGAGCAAACCAAAGGAGTTCGATACCGCCCGCCCTGAGGCTCTCCCAGCTGACTCCACCAGACCCGAGAAAGCAGACCGTGAAGCCGAAACGACTACTGATAGTACCAACGTTGCAGCTGATCAAGAGGCGGTGGACACCACCAACACCACCAATGTAGAAGCAGAAGCACCTCTGGTAGATCTCTCAGAGCCAAAGGAGGAGGAGGAGGAGGAAGCCGCACCTGTTGTTGTTCCTGCTGCTTCTGCTGAGGCTGCGGCTGAGGCTGAGGTGGTGGCAACTCAGAAACCAAAAGAGGAAAAAGTAGCTGATCAAGTTGAAGTTGCTGCCAGGCAACTAGCAGAGGTCAATCTTGTTGAGGCTGCTAAGGAGACCAAAGAGAAAGAGATGCTGGCGGCTCAAGAGATCAAACCAAAGGCCAAAGAGGAGGAGCAGCCTGCTGCAGACATCATCAAACCCAAGGCCAAGGAGGAGGAGCCTGCTGCGGACATCAAACCCAAGGCCAAAAAGGAGGAGGATGTTCAAGACAAACCAAAGGCAGCTCCTGCCTCAGAGGGCCAGAAAAAAGATGCACCTATTCTCGCTGTTTGATCCATTGCGCCTCCAATCTAAATCTAGCTACTAATTAATGTATCTCCCAAAAATAGAGCCATAAAGTGCAACACAGCATTGATGGATATATTGGTGCACTTTGTATCTGAATTTTTGGGACTCCACAACCACAAGTAGTGAAAATACTATTTTACTTACATCCCATAATTATTAATCATGTGTGCGCGCTAAGTTATCTATGCTAATATGCCTCATAGTCGATTACTCTGGAGTTTTAAGAATAACATGTGTGATGCAAAATGTTTGATTAGGACCATCATTTATTTCCTGCAGAAGAATCTGGCAAAAATAGATCACATGCTCAGAATTCAAAATTGGATTTCTGTGACTCAAATACTACAATCTTTGCATGGAATTTGCATTACTCTTGCATTACATGGATAAATACAAAAACAAATCAGAAATCTCATGGAGATGGAGCCACAGATTACTAACTTTTCACTATTGACGTCAATTCTACAAACAGCTGCCCCACCACTCTGTATTCCCTTATAAAAATCGATATTTTCTAGCACCTTTTCTGTTACAAAATTTAAAAAGACGGTTCCTTTTGATCTGTAAAGAGTCTTCCACTGAAAAGACTTTTATCATTACTAAGCAGGAATCATTACTAAGCAGGAAAATATGCAGACATGAAGATAATAAAGAAATACTCCAAACGATATGTTAACAGAACACTAATTTTGATTACTCTGTAGAACACTGAACAATTAACATGATATATCTATTTCACTAATTGTGATGATTCCAACGTGTGTGAGCGTGATACAAACTTTATATGCCCGAGAAAATGGAAAAGACAATTCCAAATTATGACTAAATTGATCTGCTAAGCCCACCCATTGTTATCACTTTTCTGAGGCAGGTTCAGCAAATGAAGGAGCGGCCTCCTTCTCCTTGGTAATTTCCTCTAGATCAGCCTTACTCTCATCCTTCACAGCCAGCAAGACCAGAACCACCAACAACGGATAGCTCACGGTAGTCAGCGACCAATTCGTAACTAATTGGGTGAGGAAGGACACCTTGTGTGTATCAACTTGCCAAGCAACAGCTGCCCCAGCACTCTGTATTCCCTTATAGAATCCAACATACCTGCAATACACACGCACAAAAGTTGTTAACCATCACAATTAAATTGATCACAAACTTTGATTATATGTTAGCCTCCAAACAGTCACTTTATTCTATCACTAGTCATCATGTGCACAAAAATCATTGAGATATTAAAAACTTGAGCAATAAGGCATATTCTATTATCTGATCTGATCCATCATCTGTGTTACCTGCTTAGGGTCTCAGAGTCATTAGCCAAGGCTCCAATAACCCAGTAAACCATGCTCTGGAACATGGAATCCAGCAAGCCAAAACTGAAATACAAGACGAATGGTCCGGCATAATCCGAACCAGAGTCCTTAAAATCCAACTTCACTGGAGAATCACCGCGAGAGTAGGTTAGCTGGTTGACAAGCCCACCAACCCAAATTGCAGTGCCAACAATACTAACCACTGTAATGCCAGCAAAACCCCTTGTCCTCCTACTCTTGAAACTGAAATCCATTACGTATCCAATCCCAATCGACCCCAACATCTGGGCTCCCCAATAAAACACATTGTTCAATCCTCTGGTCCTCAAATTAAACATAACCTGATTGACATTGTTGAACTGGTAGGTGTAAAAGAAGTTGCTGGACCAAGCAGCAGGGATTATAAGAAGCATCTTCCAATTTCCAAACAGCTTGGCAATCTCAACAACCTCAGTTGAAACACTAGAGTACTGAATGTTGGTACACTTAGTCCCATCATCACGAACAACCTTGCTAGGCGGCAAAATGGCCAGGGATAAAAGAGTCCCCGCAGTCATGAAAACCATGAACCCAATATAAGTAGCATCATTAACAGAAGCTGCCTCGCTTCTATTGTAATTAAGAACGAAGGGAATTAGGCCTCCAATGACACCACCCATGTTGAAGATACTCCAGAAAATGGAAATATATGTCCCTTTCCGATTAGCCGGGGGATAGGAGGTCATGATGGCACCTTGGCAAGCCCAAAGCAGGCCTGCACCGACTCCAAGGATTGCTCCGGCGACAATTGCAAAAGCCTGGTGCTTGTGGTGATTGTAGTACAAGAAGGAGCCAGCGTAGAGGACATAGGTGGAGCAGGCTGAGAGGAGAGTGAGGCGAGGGCCAAGGATGTTGTAGATGCCACCGCCGAGGATGCCGAAGACGGCGAAGGTGGTATAGAGGGCGGTGGAGGCGTTGTTGGAGGCTGTTGGGTCAACCTGGCCACCACCACCCATGCCTGAGAGGGCATTGAACATGCCTGGGCAGCAAAAACAGACCAACCCAATAAGGCTCACTTGCACAAAAGGGGAGTTGTACCTGAATCTCGATTGGGGCACCTCAGTGCCTCCTGATTCTTCAGCTCCTTCGAAACCCATCAAGCCAAGATGATGACTTTGACGATTTTAATGGTTTTTGTGATTGCTGAAAATGAAAAGTTTCTTCCTTTTGGAGGGGATGGGAAAGCTCGAGACTTTATTCGGGACAAAAGAGACAGAAGGGAATTTAGGGATGAGGGGTTGAGGCTCTGAGTTGGGGAGGCCAAAGAGATGAGAGGGGTTTTGTTTTGAATGCAGAGTCCGAGTGGGGTGTGGAAACTGGAAAGTAGAAAAAGACTGAATTTAGGAGCAAAGAGGGAGGGGTTGCTGGGGCTGTCTCCGATTCTGACAAGCACATGCTATGTATTGATGGTAGGTTTGATTTAAGTTGAGAAGATATAGTCCATGATGAATTGCAAAAGGTCAAAAAAATAACAAGGAATGTGGAAATTGGGATTTGGAAGAGACAAATTGCATTGCAAATGACAAATTTTGGATTCCAGGCTTGCTTCCTTTCCAGAATCCAGCGGGGTGTGAGAAAGATGTGGGAAAGGTCGAAATATAAATCCATGATCCCAACAGGACGACGGGGATGAATCTGCATAATAATAAAACTATTAAATAATTGAGAAAAAGTCAATCTCAATCAGTTTCAGTTGTTTTGTTTTGTTTTGTTATAGGTGGAATAGAATCTTGGAATTTAATTCCTATGTGGACCCGCTTCTTCTAGCAAAAATAACAGGGCAGTCCAGAGGGAGAACACCAAAAACATGACATATATTTTTAGTAATGTTTTTTTTCACTTGAATGTTATTCCAAAAACAAATGAGTTGGGAAAACAAGGGTGTTATTATTATGTCTTATGGCAACCCTGTCCTAAAAGGATAACATACGAATGTGTTAAAGATTCACTAACATAGATAATTAAGTTGGGTGGGTTATGTCTAATTTGCAGGCGCATATTAGAAGGAAAGGAAGGTCCAACAACAACTTGACTAACTAATACTTAATGAAGGAATACCCTTTGCCTTGTTGTTTTCAACTTGTTTGGCTCAACTTTCTTTATATTTTCTTTATATGCTTATGCTTTCAGGCTTTCAGCAAAGGGAGCTCTCATTCATTACTCTTTGAGTCTTGACAGAAAAAGTCATATTTTGCTGCGACAAATAAATTGTCTATCACACAAAACTAACATAGTGATGTTAAGGCATTTAAATATGGCATTATTAGCTCATGCAATAACAGCAGGCCAGCCGGCTGCAACGAATTATTTTTGTTGTTTTTGTGGAAAAACATTTGACAACACAAGCTCACTTGGGTTGGAACTTGGATGGATCATGGATGTATAGCCTTCCTTTCATTTCATCAGAGCTCATGGTGGTCCAATCAAGAATTGACCATCAGTGATAAGGTTGTAAAGGATAAGGGGATGATGTCGTTCATTTCAAGAATTGACATTATAGGCTTGCCTTCTCTTCTCACTTTTTCGCCATTTGTAAGTTCTGGAAGCAGCTCCTAAGATGAAAACAAACGAAAACACCACCAGCTTAGTCTACTACAACAAGACCAGACAAAATATTATATAGGGCAACTGAGGACTTTATATATGGACCTCATAAAGAATGACTCCAGTTAACTGATAAGATAAACTATTGATTTTCAAATCTGTTAGGCAGAAAACCCATCCATTTTCAAAAATCAGGATTTTTGTGGAAATGTCAGAAGAACTTATACATAAGTTTCAATTTGTCACCTTAAAGAAAAATTTAAGCAAAATGTCACCTTAAGTTTTTAAAATCCATGATTTGTCGTCTGACTTTAACATCATTCAATTTTCCATCTATTTTGAAGGGTGTTTTAGTCTTTTCAATATGTAAACCCTCTTTTTTATATCATTTAAATATAAAACTACATAAACTTTCTTGCTTGGAAAGACTAAAATATCCTTAAAAATGAATGGAAAATTAGATGATGTTAAAGTCTAGTGACAAATAATGAATTTTAAAAACTTAAGATGATATGTTGCTTAAATTTTTATTTAAGGTGACAAATTAAAATTGATATATAAGTTCATGTGACATTTTTATTAATATCCCTCGAAAGTCAATAGTTGTATTTGTATAGAGGAGGTGACAAATTAAAATTGATATATAAGTTCATGTGACATTTTTATTAATATCCCTCGAAAGTCAATAGTTGTATTTGTATAGAGGGGCCGAAGCCCATCAAGAGCTAAAAAGGGAGGTCCCCAAAAACACAAGAAAGCCCATCTATCTGCAAATGAAAAGCAAAAACCTCGCTCATTTGTAATTAATAATCCACAGAACGTTCACCACTATGAGAAATTAGATGAAAGAACAATGACAAGGGAAAATAACCAGTTCCAACCCAAAAAATTTCAATTCCTTGATATGATTTGGCATCTGTCATTCTCATTGCAACAATTTGACACTTTTTCGTTAATCACAGATCAGATTAAGTGGTCGCATCCTACCTTTAGGCTAAAAGAACAAAAAGAAAGCATCCATCCTACAATGGAAGAGTCTGGTCTGGTGTATAAGAACCCCAAAAGTGGTTTAATTGTGCAAACAACTGAAACAAGTCAACTCTATGCTCCTTTCTTGCGGTTTTGAAGAGAAAACCCTGGTTCTTTTGCATCATTATGTTCATCAACTGTTTCCTCAATCAGTCGAATCCCGTGCTCAGATCCTTCTGAGGAAGTATCACCTTTCGTGCCTCCAATTGTTCCAATAGTGGAAGGATCATTAACCAAGCTTTTGTAGATTGTTAGTGCTTGAGAAATCATGCCAGCAGGATTATTTGAAGCACTAGGAAGCAACACTGTTGTGCCCTGCAAAAATTTTAAATAAAAAGAAGAAAAAAAACTATTTTATTAATCAATTGAGCATCATTAGATACAGCAGCATATATACATAGTTAGATGGTTCTGCTCTCACCTGTTTGGCGATATTACCAAAGGCTTCAACATACTGCTCAGCAATTTTCAAGGCAGCTGCCTGCAAATCAGACCATAATTTTAGTTCCTTCCTCCACACAAACAAACAAAGCACACACATAAGATTTTCATAAAATCTGTACGCCACATGCCAACATCACGGAAGACAAGTCTATATGATCCTTGCTTATAAGGAAAAACTATTCTCGGCTCTAGAAGATGCTAAGGAAGAACTGGACCCTTTTCAGATTTACTGATACTTGAACAATTTAATACATTATAATAACATCAACATGGAAACTCATCCACATCCACATCCACACCCAGATGTCCTGCAACAACCTATAGAACTCATGATTATTATTATTATTTTCCATTTTACAATCAAATAGAGTTAAAAGGATTTAGAAGCTTTGGCCTATTGGACACTAGAGTACGTGGATGGCATCCAGTTAGATATTTGATATGAGATATAAAGGAAAGAAAAGTGGGTCTGAGGGTTGGGGAAGAAGAAGAAGAAGAAGGAACATCCTGTAGTTAAATATCAAAATCTCAGGTAAAATGTGAGGGGTAGGGTAGGTGGAATGTGAGGGCTTAGAGAGAATAATGCATCACCTTCCACAAAATCTCAACAAACTAAGCTAAAGAGCCCGTAATGTAGCAATATTTTTTCAACTTCCCAATTAATAGTAACCCAATTTGACAAGATGCACGATGGGAAACCATATGATGTTGCATTTTTTATATGAAAAATAAGCAAAATAAGGATGTACTCATTTGGAATGAGTGACATGTGTTGGAGCCTGAATGGACTAAGAAAACAAGTGCCAACCAACTATGTGCATAGCACCACCTTTCTGGAATCCCCAAAACTTTATTGAGAATACTACAAGCACAATGAAGGAGATTGAAGAACCTCACCTCTGCACCGCCACTTTCCTTGAGAGTCTTTGACACAAGGGTAATTCCTCGAGATGTTGCATTTGCTTTAGCAAGGATGGACTGTGCTTCTCCTGTAAAAGAATGAAAAAGTCAAATGGAAATCTAATCAACTAAAGGAACATCAAAATCAAATTAACCACAACTTTGCACACTACTGGGACTAAATTATATCAGAATTGCAACTACCTTCTGCTGCTAATATTATAGCACTCTTCTTTCCGTCTGCAATGTTTATGTTTGCCTGTCTTTCTCCTGTGAAAGATCAGAAACATTAGTTTCTGCCAATGCATATTCTACCTACAAGTGTGACTCGAAATACTACACTTAAAAGAAGCACACGAAAAGACAATGTCATCATCTGTTTGCAACCCTTAAGGTTCACTACAGAATTTCACTTTGCACGTATAATTGAACTATAAAACGAACATTGAGTTCCTTACCTTCAGACTCAAGAATTTGAGCTCTCTTTTTGCGTTCTGCTTCTGCTTGCATCTCCATAGCATCCCTCACCGCACGAGGAGGAGTTATGTCCTCTAAACAAGTATGAACAGTCAAGCATTTACGAAATGATAATACAATTTGATAAAAATAATAAAGAGTATCTGATGAAACACTAGCAAAAGGGGTCTCTTACTTATTTCATATCGGAGGCACTCCAAGCCCCATGCTGTAGCAGCCTTGTTGAGCCCTGTCTGCAAAATGATGCCCGCTCAAAATATTTCTTAACCTAATATGCTAACTTACAAAGAAAATAGAACTTAATTAATGCTGATGTAACAATGTTTAAAGACAAGGGTACGCAAACTGAAGGCATGCCCCTCATCAGACATTTTCTTATTACCAGAAAATTAACACAGAAACATCATCAAAATACAGGACAAAAGCTTCTTAGCAGAGACTCAAACCATAACTACGGCTCTAAAGAAGACGCCAGATTCTTAATCTTCATAGTTATCAGAAGCAAAAGGGAAGATAAAAATACCACTATCTCATCATTGAGGGATTCTCTTTCCTCAAATGTCTTGTCAAGAGTCATTTTCCCAATTGCAATACGCATAGTAGTCTGTGCAAGCTGAATAGCTGCATTGATAGGATTGTCAACCCCATAGGATGCCAGCATAGGATCCATAATCTGCACCCACACAAGAGAAAACAAAGCTCCGTGTAACCCACTAAAGAAATATATATACGAAGGCACACAAATCCGATTCAAGAATGTGATATTACCCTGATGTAAAGCACACCATCAATCATAAGGGCGACATTGTCTTTGGTGATAGCGGACTGGTCAGGAACATTAATGACCTCTTCTTTCAAGGAATGCACATAAGCGATTCTATCCACAACGGGAATCAAGAAATGGATACCCGAATCCAGAGTCCTGACGTACTTTCCAAACCGCTCAATCACAAAGGCCTTCTTCTCAGGCACAATCCGAATGCCAAAATTCGTCGGAGGCGTAATCTCATAGTTTCTACACATAAAGATCCAAATTTCTCACCCAAATCGTATAAAAACCACCAACCCATAACTTGAAAAGGCACGCACACATAAAACCCAAAATAAATCCGCAAGTCATTTCATATTTCCAATAATCCAACAACCCAATACTTGTAAGAAGAAACACGCAGGAGTAGGAATTACCTGAGATCGCGACTGCTTCGGTAGTTCCGAACGGCGAGCAGATTGTGTGAGGGGGCAAACGGAGAGGAAGATGGAGGGGAAAGAAGTGGGTTCGACTGTTTGAGGATTAATGACGAACAGGTGGTGAGGGCTCTTACACCGGCAGATTGGGAATGGTGGAGATGCCTCAGAGCTCTCAACGAGTTGAGGGAATTGAGCTTAAACATATTCATATTCTTGGCTTTTCTCTTTCTGTTTTTTGGGATTTCTCTGCTGCTAGTAAGAATTCAATGGGGGGGTTTTACAAAGGCGAAGGGTTTTATGAAGCCCTCGTGGCCTTGTTCAAATCTATCTCCTTATTTTCTTGCTCTCCAAGAAGAAGTGCGGTATTTTATTTTTATTTTTCTTCTGTTCTTTAACTGATTGCGGTTTTACCTGAAAATTTCCTTGGCCAACACTAAAACTATTACCCGAAAATGACCAGCAACATTTTGTCCATGTTTTTTTATGTCGGCTTCCCTTTGAAAATTAAAAAGAATAAAAATCAAAACTAAATTTTTGATAGGTTGATTAACAATTGGCCACATCATAATCTCATAGGATATTCGGGTTGCCCCAAAATTAGCTCTCAAAAACTTGTGGTAGGCCTAAGTTGGGTATCAACATAGCAACAAGAGTGATACTCTCGGATGAACTTGCGTCAATGGGTTTCATTTCAGGCAGCTCCTCTTGCTTACTTTTTAGAACAATGGTGAATAGTGAGGCCCCCAACCCAAGAAGGGCATGCGTAAAAAGATTGATAGGTTTATTAACAATTGGCCACATCATAATCTCATAGGATATTCGAGTTGCCCCAAAATTAGCTCTCAAAAACTTGTGGTAGGCCTAAGTTGGGTATCAACATAGCAACAAAAGTGATACTCTCGGATGAACTTGCGTCAATGGGTTTCATTTCAGGCAGCTCCTCTTGCTTACTTTTTAGAACAATGGTGAATAGTGAGGCCCCCAACCCAAGAAGGGCATGCGTAAAAAGACATTGCAATTGGCACCTGCAGCAATTGATATTGCGTATGACTTATAAAAATACATGCCACAGCAGCACATGTTGCTAATTGGCTTTTACATTTGCAATCTATTATACAAACATGACCTCAATCAAAAAGACTAGTAATTGTAGCTTCATTTGAAAGAAGCACAAGAATAACCAGTGCAAAGGGCGCCGGTGCTGTTGTAAGGGAACAGAGCAACTGGTCGACTCGGTGGCAACTCCGGGATTGGTCTCTCCATGCAAAGAAACTCCACCACTTGCTCCATACAAGGCCTCCCTTTGGTCACATTCAGTGTGCATAGCAACCCAATTTGCATAACACTAATTGCTTGCTCCAAGTTTATCACTGTGCCCATCCTCCTATCCACTACCCTCGCCATTTCATCTATCTCGTGCATTCTCCATGCAAAGTCCAGCAAGTCCCTCTCCTCCAATTGCCCCAACTCTGCCTCCAGTCTCTGCCTCCCGCCAACCACTTCCAACACAAACAACCCAAATTCAAACACATCCGCACTTTGGCTTACTGCTGACTCGAACCTTTTTGATTCTGCACCACATAGCACAAACCCAAAGTCCCCAAGGACTGCGCGGAAACTAATATCAAGAAAGACGCTAGTTGTTTTCAAGTTCTTGTGGGATAATTGATTAGAGTGCAAGAAACTGAGGGCCTCAGCCACATCTTTCACAACCTTGAACCGCCGAGTCCACGGAAGAACACCCACCCCAAATAGCCATTTGTCAAGGCTCCCATTGGGGAAAAACTCATACACAACCATGGTTTCTTTCTGATCTTGACACCACCCTCGGATCGGAACCAAATTTGGATGCCTAACCTGGCTAATGCCCTTTATTTCCTTCAAAAACCTTCGCCTATCAAATCCTTGAGAGTGCAAAAACTGAGAAGAAAACCGCTTCACAGCCACTTGACATCCATTCAAAAGCTTTCCCCTATAGTACACACCTCTCGAGCCGCTACCCAGAAATTCATACTCGCTGAAGGATTGAGTAGCCAAGGAAAGCTCGGAGATTGTGAAGCAGCGGGGCTTGTTGGGAGGCCTTGGTCTCTGCTTCTTCTCCGGCAGCACAATGGAAGTGTCTGATATTTCTGTACTTTTGCGCCTGCTGTTGTAGTATAGGCTAAGCACAACAGCCAGAACCAAAACCAGCACAGCAACAAAGATTAAGAATGTGCCTGGAGGCTCAGCGCTCGTGGTACCTGCTCTGCCATGTACAATGATGTTACTCTCGCATGTTTCCACTGAAGGCGTCCAAAGAAAAGCTTGGCTAGTGGAGCTGAAATTCCAAGAGAGGACGCTGTGGATTTGGGTATGGTTGCCAGTGGAAGCTGAGAATCCGACGAACATGTACTCGTTGAGAAAGGGTGAGAGATCAAGAGGGCCAGAGAAGATCGGCTTTGATGGAGGACTGTCATTGCTGACGCCGTCTGATCCTAAATGAATTTCCATCCAACGGCGTGAGCCGTCGTAGCCAATCCAAGCTCGGTGGACTGAACCATCGTTGAGAAAGACACCAACATCGGAAGCGTTGATTGTTTTGGTGGAGACGATCGTGCCGAGGTTGATTCCGACATGGTTGTCATTGGGGTCTCCGAACTCAGGATTGAGACGCGTGTCGAACTCGACTGCTATTGCCTTGTAATCATCCTGACAAGCGTCGTTGAGCATGCCGAGCCACGGGCCAGGCCTGCCAATGGTGAACTCGTCAGGGACAATGATGAAGGTGAGGCCACTGCCACCATGATCAGAAGAATTAGCACTGAAATTGGAAGAAGAAGCATTGTGGAATTGAAAAGAGAAGGTTGTTTGGAAAGAAGCAGGGGACTGGGTGTGAGGGTCAAGGAGACGGATGGGAGAAGAGTAGAGGGCTCTGCCTGCTTGGTGTCTGAGATGATCAATATGATTGCCGTTGCCGTGGGGTGGATCATGATCATCAGGGATTTGGATGGCTGATGATGCGGAGAAGTTGGCACTGCCAAGAAGCTTTACATCTTCTAAAACTCGGGGATTTTTGGAGAAGCTGAAATCTGGGAAAGAGAGATGCTTGGTGACGTTAACCAGTGGTCCATGTATACGGTGCTTGTTGTCACTACCTGAATGAACTAGAACTGTGTGTTCAATAAACAACAAGCATATGAACCAGATGAAGCCATAGTTGTAGTTGCAGCAACCCATTCGTATATTTTGAAGATTTGAAATGCTTTGATGATGAGGAGGTGGGGTGGGGGATCCTATAAAGAAACAAGATTTGGACGGCTACAGAAATTACTTGTACTAGTTGGGATAAATACGTATTGATATTGGACAAGTAGTTCTGTAGCATTGTTTGATTAAAATCTGCAACTAGTTAGTTATGAATGATTGAGAATCAAGTCGACAATAGAAAGAAATTGCGGCCACATATACAGGTAAGATAGGAAAGCAGGCAAGTTAGAGATAATTTTTTTATTACAATACAACATCCTGAACTGAAGCTGAAGAAAAGGAATGATGAATCATTTGTTACCAATCATATTATATGACAGATTCTGAGTCTCTCATCATAGTCAAGCAATAAGTCATGGACGATGGAGATGGGTTTTGGGTCCATGCCGCGTCCCTATACTCCTTTTGCACTCCCATTCAGTCTTCCTTGGACCACCAGTTTGTGTTTTTTTTCTTATTTTTCCTTTGGCTCTTGTTGGCTTTTTGTCGACCACCAGACCAGACCATATTAACAAATCCCATCAATAGATCAAACTCAGATATTCAATTCCTACCCGCAAGGTATCATGTGTATTATCATTGATTCGACCCTTCAATAAAACACTCCCAAATACCAAAAACATAAACATGAAGAAGAATGTCCGGGCCAATCGCGGGGTGAAACAATGGAAGCCCAAATCGATCTAGGGGAGATCAATTTTGTGTTTCTTGTTGCCCCGTTCCACTTACTTCTTTTTCCTTGTTAACCTGTTACACTTGTTCTAAATCTGTGTTAAATATGTAAACCGTACAAGTATTATAATCCCAAAACAGACACATCACATAATTAAGCGGTAAGCACAAAATTTGTTCCCACATATATATATAAGGTCTAACAGAAAATCAAAAATCTAATGAAAAATTACTTTTAACGCAAAATTATCGATCATATGTCAAACAAGCTTTATAAATGATGCCAACTCCAACAAAAGGATAACTTCAGTTCCATGAGGAAATTAAACTACGTTCGGAAACTAAAACAAAACAGACACAGCTCATTCCTCTTCAAGGATGGTTCCCTTCTCGCTAACATAGATACCATCAAGAAACTTCCTGATATCCTTGTTCTTCACATGGCATTTCTGTCAAAAGATAAATAAACAAAGTTAACACTTCAGCATATGCAACTACCATGTTAAAAGCAACAACAATAATACAAGTGTCTCCGTGCATTTGTAGAGAAAGAGAGAAATTGATAAGAGTGATCCATAGAGAGAGAGATAGGGAAATATAGACCTGGTTGATCAGAGCACATGACCGAGAAACAAGCTCAATATCATTTCCGTCCAATATCAGCTCATCCTTCACCTTTTCAGATCGGAGGAAACCCCATCAAGCATATCCACCTTTCTCACCTGATTGAGCAAACACATAGTTCATCAAGACCCACACACTAGAAATCTTTGTTAGTTAGATTAAACAAAATTGTGCCATATCAAAATCAGTTATTGGCTCACAGGACAAAACATTTTAACCTAACCAATGACTTATTCGTTAGTAATTCATAACTGCAAACAGCACAACATCCTAATTTCTCATCATAAACATGCCATTCAGCTTTCCGAGCTCAAGCAAGAGCTTGAACCCAGGCCTTTTCCACATGCCCATATATTTGCATGAAATCATTTCCAATTCCTAATTGCATTTTATGGGGTCAAAAGCCACACAGATTCCAGATAAAAAGAAATGGTATCATCTTTCTTGAACATAAAAATTAGAGCATATGGGACATATGATAAACACAGAAACAAGGTGATTATAAGGATAACAAATGACTATTCTATTTGAAAATATTTCTTCAACAATAATACTATAATAGCCCACATGCTAATGAAATCTGTTTCTCTTCCAGTGCGATCGAAAACCAGAACATAACTGACAACGGTAAACAGCATATGTCAGTAAGGTCTAAAATATCTAATGTCACCTAATGCCTAAGCACAGGCATGTATTCGGGCTAACCAGATAACCATAGACTACAAGCATGCTTTCACTAAATTCAAACGGAAAGTTTAAGAAATTCCAAAACATCAGTACAAAAGGCTCAATAAATCTCATTTCTAAATCAAATAGGCATACTTCACAAATCCAAAAACAGTTGTAAGAAACTATCAAACAAAGAAAAACACCAAAATGCACAAGAAACATTGATCACAAATGACTCAGATACAAAAAACGCAAAACAAAACAAAGCCAGCTAAAATCTGGGAAAAGGGTACCTTCTTTTCACCCAAAAAGTTACGGATCTCGATCGACTTGGCTGCGTTAGTGATGGAAGCATTGATGGGAAAATGGGCATATACAAAACGCATCTTGTAGCGGTAGCCCTTGGTGACACCAGTGATGAGATTCTCAACATGGGAACAAATGACTATTCTATTTGAAAATATTTCTTCAACAATAATACTATAATAGCCCACATGCTAATGAAATCTGTTTCTCTTCCATTGCGATCGAAAACCAGAACATAACTGACAACGGTAAACAGCATATGTCAGTAAGGTCTAAAATATCTAATGTCACCTAATGCCTAAGCACAGCCATGTATTCGGGCTAACCAGATAACCATAGACTACAAGCATGCTTTCACTAAATTCAAACGGAAAGTTCAAGAAATTCCAAAACATCAGTACAAAAGGATCAATAAATCTCATTTCTAAATCAAATAGGCATACTTCACAAATCCAAAAACAGTTGTAAGAAACTATCAAACAAAGAAAAACACCAAAATGCACAAGAAACATTGATCACAAATGACTCAGATACAAAAAACGCAAAACAAAACAAAGCCAGCTAAAATCTGGGAAAAGGGTACCTTCTTTTCACCCAAAAAGTTACGGATCTCGATCGACTTGGCTGCGTTAGTGATGGAAGCATTGATGGGAAAATGGGCATATACAAAACGCATCTTGTAGCGGTAGCCCTTGGTGACACCAGTGATGAGATTCTCAACATGGGAGAGGGCAGTGCGAATGGCTGCGCTGGTTTTGCGTGAGCCAAACCAGGCATCGATCTTGAGCTTTCGCTTGCCGGTTTCCTCATCCTTGATGAGCTGAAAGTCCAAGTTCAAATGCTTGAAGTTACGAACAAGCTTGCCACGAGGACCTTCGACCTCTATGATCTTGGCATGGACCTTGATTTTGACCCCATCTGGGATGTCCATGGTCTCGGAGGACAGAATGGTCTTCATCTCCGCTACCTCTCTTTCTCTCTCTCTCTCTCTCTGCGGCTCTGGTGTGTAAATGAATGATTTGGGAGAGACAGCAAACCCTAATGTGTTATGTATGCTTTATATAATACAATCGATGTTAAACCCTAAAACCCAATTTATAAAGGCCGGGCAGTTCGTAGCCGAAAGAATGGAGCCCAATATAAATCTGGGCTTGATCAGACATAGCGAAAAAGAATATGTTTCTTGGGCTTCGAGTGGAAAAGCCCTGTTTTTATCAAAAAATGTCCTTAAGGTTCACGAAATTATCATATTTCATCCTTAAACTTTTTTTGACATTAATAGTCCTTAACATTACACTCTCTCTCATTTTTAATTTTAACCTAATTTTAGAGTTCATTTGGTACAGAATGTGGGGATCCCATAAACGTGTAAGAAGCTTGAGACAACAAAAGTGAGTTACATATCGTATCAAATCAGATCATGGGTACCAATCATTTTATGATGAGAGAATTTCAACCATTCGATAACAACTCAACTTCAACCCTATATTCTCTTGGAGGGAGGGAGAGTAGAGGGGGAGAGAACAAATAGAAAGTGGGGGTGAGTTGCGGGTGGGGATGGGGTGGCGAAGTTAATGAGTTCGCCCTTTACACGCAAGTTAGATTCCTCTCATTAATTTAGAGAAATTTTATATTCAAAACTAATAATAATGCATTGTTAATTCGAATCATATAACCAGTTAAAAAGATTAATCCTTTGACACCTCTATATTGAATTTGAAGTGATCATGAAAAGTTGGTGAGGGAGTTTGTTTGAACCTCCAACATGGGTTTGTTTCAAATTCCTTCCCCACGTGGAGTTTCTAATGGCTGAGCTTAATTGCACATATTTGGTCAAATGAGAATTTATCTATATATATAAAGCAAAAGGCAGAGAATTGTGAAACATTCAAAATAAATGCCCTTGGTTAATGCAAACATTAAGAATTGAAATTATTAATTAAATGAGGATAATATGATAAATTCACACCTTTTTATATTAAAAAAATGAAATTAAAAGAAAAATTAGATAATAGATCTTGTTTTTATGGAACACAACTACCCATTATCTTTTTTAATTCTAAAATAAATTTAAAACTTTTTATAAAAAGTTTCACACAAGCGTGTGCGAAGAGGCTAGTTTCAATAAAAGGAGAAAACAAATGCAGAGGAATATAGATAATTAGATAATTTGGGTGGTAAAGTACTATGAAATTGCCACGTATCATATTTATTCATTAACTAAGATTTGATTTTGTTTTTTCAGTAAATACATAAAGAGTTTTTTCAACTACGTGACGATGTTAAAAGCAAACCAGGTACAAAGATGATGATCAAAAGTTCAAAACAGATCTCTTATCTTTCGTGGTTGTTTATAGCAAGCAACACACAGTTTCAGAGGAAGCCAGTTTGGTGAAAGGCGCCGCACAGAGTTTGAGTCTTGAGATATGAAAAGGCAGGGCAGTGAGCAGAGGCAGAGGGCCGAGGCAGAGGCAAGGCCAGAAATAATAGAGAGAGAGTAGTGGCATGGCAGTGAGGCAGAGTAGTGGCTGACACAGAGAGGTTCCTAACGACGAATATATGGCATCCGTAGCCATCTGTGCTGTGCCCCATTGGATTTTCTATTTCTAATGCGCACGTGCATTCATTTCTCTCTTTGGCTCTATGTGTTTTCGGAATCATAACATACTACAAATTAATTAGAAATCCCACTGCAGTTCGAGAGAGAGAGAGAGAGAGAGAGAGAGAGAGATGGATATGGGTTTGTTGAAAAAATGGTTTAAGTGGTCAAAATTGGTGCTGGCCATGTTGATGGTGCAGATATTTGTAACTGGGATGCAATTGCTTTCCAAAGTGATATTGAGTGAGGGAACCTTCATTTTTGCACTCATGGCCTACCGTCATATCGTTGCTGCCATTTGTGTTGCTCCTTTTGCCTTCTTTTTCGAAAGGTTTAATATTCTTTGCTTCACATTCTTCTCGTGATGTTTTCTCATCTTTTCCATGTTTGAACTGTTTTCTTTTTTGGTGGCATTGTTGCAGCAGTGTTAAACAAATCAAGTTGGGTTGGTCAGTTTGGTTCTGGCTCTTTGTCAATGCCTTAACAGGGTAACCCGTGTTTGGTTTGGTTTGGTTTCACATCATGTTTGGCATATTTTGCTATCTTGACGCACTTTAAAGATTATTGCAAATCTAATCTGCTTTTCATGCATTTTGTTTTATACTTTTATACAAAGTGGCATTTTAAACATATAGGAAAGAATAAAAATGCAGGATCACATCTACGATGGGATTGTTTTACTATGGCCTCCGAGACACCACGCCTACATATGCTACAAACTTCCTCAACTTAATTCCGATAGCAACGTTTGTGCTCTCCATCATCACTCGGTAAGCTTATCTGAGGCATTCCTCAACTGAAACTGAAGCTGTGTGTGTGTATTTATATATATATATATATAGAAAATGTTGTTAGAAGTTTATTTTGCTTCTGTTTTGAATTGTTGCTTGCAGCATAGATAAATTGAACCTGCAAACCAGAGCAGGCAAAGTCAAGACTTTGGGGGTAATTGTATGCGTTGGGGGGGCCCTCACTGCTAGCCTTTACAAGGGAAAGGCATTTCATATGCGCCAGCACAGCCATCACTCGCATATCACTGTCAACACAACTTATGCTCACTGGACACGTGGCACTATCATGTTGGCCGGTAGCTGCCTGTCCTGTTCTACATGGTTCATAGTGCAAGTACGTAATTCTTTTTGGCAAACCATTTGATTAAGCAGGAAATGTAGCCTGCCATGGTCTAGGATATGATTTCTGTAACTGATGCTGGTAAATGTTCTTGTTGTTTCTCATGAACAGGCTAAATTGCTCAAAATATTTCCACTCAAATATTGGGCAACAATGCTAACGTGCATTATGGCAACCCTGCAATCAACAGTCATAGGCCTATTTTTCGACAGAAGGGCGGCTTCGTGGAGGTTAGGGTGGAATTTGCAGCTAGTTACGATAATTTATTCGGTAAGCTTAATTACAGACCATCAAGCACCACTTCTTCCTAGATGTGTAAATTTTAACTGATATCCAGTGGTCAAGACTCAAAAGGTTTGTTTTTTCTTTGAACTCTAGGATAAATTATGTGCAAGCTACTGAATGAATCGATTCTAATTGTTGTATAGGGAGCGCTAGCCACAGCTGCAACGTTCTGCTTAATTTCATGGGCCATCTCAGTCCAAGGACCTCTCTATCCTCCCATGTTCAACCCATTGTCTCTAATTTTTGTTGCCTTATCATCAGCTCTCATACTTGGCGAAGAGATCAGAATCGGAACGTACGAGTTTTATACTTCGCTAAGTATTTACTGTATGTATATTTCTTACATTATGCTGCAACTATCAATCCGAACTTAATTATTTACTTTTCCTGGACTCGAATTTCTGCAGTTTGCTGGGCATGATTCTGATCATGTTTGGATTGTACTCCTTCTTGTGGGGTAAAAGAGAGGAAATGAAAAGCCCAGATTTGCCAAAATCAGAAGCTCGGGGAGTAGCAAAAACAAATGTTGAGCTGCCCGCAGCCACAGGGTTGCAACTATCACCCGGGTGCTGACTGTACTGCTAACGTTGAAGATGGTTGTGAGGAAAGCCATTTCCCAGAAAAAGTTCACATCACAGTAAGCAAAGAACTAGTTCTAAACAAAATTGGCAGACAAAGTCGAAGGCTTTTTTTTTTTTTTTTTTTCCAATCATTATGTACTTCAAAGGTTATTCAGACTGTATCTTGCTTTCAGAAAACAAATTTAATTAGAACATAAACTGAGAAAAGCTTCCCTAACAATTTCATGAACCTCTGGGGGATTAAGAGCAACATAACAGTAAACTAACTCTTCCATATCATTCCAATCACAAACACCCTCGTACCGGATCATCTCTAGTATTGATTCCCTCATATCAAAAATTGGGTCTGTGCTGTACTTGACCAAGCATGCACTACCTGCAAAAACACCACAAACATCATCAGGCAAGCTGGCTGAGAGGCTGACTCTGTTTCTCCACCTCTGCTTCTCTTTCTTTTCTCTCTTCTTGTTATGTTCCTCGGTGACATCCATGGCTCCTGCCTGCAAAACACAACACAATGCTTTGCATAAAGAAATTAAGTAGCTAGCTTGAATTTGTAGTAGCATTATTCAGCCATTGAAAGACATGAATGCATGCGAGCCTGCTTCTTGTGAATATAGGCGGGTGCCAAAGGAAAATTCATGTGAAGAATTTAAAAGCACACACACACAGTGTCAGTGAGTGAGTCATTAATGGATCGGATCAGAGATTTAACGTGGCCCAAATTGCATGGGCTTCGGATCGGATCAGAGATTTAACGTTGCCCAAATTGCATGGGCTTCGACCCGCCATCATACTAGCCCAAGCTTCCCCTTACTTTTCGCAAAACTTTTTGGTTTTTATCATGCATCAAAATGTAACTCATTCTCAATTTTCTGCCGCCAACCCATTTGTTTTGTTGCGATGATTCTCTAAATGTCGCACACCTGACGCCATGGCCAAAAGCTGATGGCAACTTGCACGCCTAGTTAAACCAACCCCTCATGGGTTCGTGGGGGCAATGGGGCATGGCGTGAAAGGTCCTTTCTCTGTCCGCGGGGTTCTTTCACGCCAGTTAAGCAAGATACAGTCTGTTGACTTTGAAGTACATAATGATTGAAAAAAAAGAAAGAAACCTTTGACTTTGTTTGCCAATTTTGTTTAGAACTAGTTCTTTGCTTACTGTGATGTGAACTTTATGGCTTTTCTCACAACCATCTTCAACGTTAGCAGTGCAATCAGCACCCGGGTGACAGTTGCAACCCTGTGGCTGCGGGCAGCTCACCATTTGTTTTTGCTACTCCCGGAGCTTCTGATTTTGGCAAATCTGGGCTTTTCATTTCCTTTCTTTTACCCCACAAGAAGGAGTACAATCCAAACATGATTAGAATCATGCCCAGCAAACTGCCGAAATTCGAGTCCAGGCAAAGTAAATAATTAAGTTTGGATTGATATTTGCAGCATAATGTAAGAAATATACATACAAAAATTAGAGCTGATGATAAGGCAACAAAAATTAGAGACAATGGGTTGAACATGGGAGGATAGAGAAGTCCTTGGACTGAGATGTGTTGGTGAGTCCTTAATTAGTTAGGATTTTGGTTACTTACCTTCATGGATCCGTGGGGCAAATGGGGCATGGCATGGCGTTTGTAGTAATGTCTTCATCCATCTCCGAAACTGATAGGTCCTTTTTCTGTCCTCACTCTCTCATCTCAGGTATCCAATCCAATTGTTTATGCTTCACATTTGGAATTATACGTCTGACTTTGCACAATATAATTGAATACATATCATTTTCATTCCAAAGCCAAACATGCCAATCTCATCCATCACTGACGTGTAGTGATGAATAGTTATGCCTCCCACTCCACGTCCACATGTAAACAAACAATTAATCTAACATTTCTCAACTTCCTTTTGGGGCCACCATACCTTTGGCGATTATAAGTCACAACTTTGGGAATCAATAACCCATTATTTATAGTTGATCTTTCAAAAGAGATTTTACTAGGATGATGTTGAGGACATATACTATTATGTTCGCTTTGTTGCTGGTCATGCTGACCTCAGCATGTGCTGGTTGGATGCTTGGTCATGGTGAGCTAGGTATGAGCTATCATTTCTGGTTGGAAGCTTGGTCATGGTGACATGAAGATGAGCTAGGGCTGCTGGTGGGATCTATTGGTGAAGTGCATCAACCAATTCAAGATTTTCTAATACAAGTGCATCACCTAGAGTGTAAAACACACACTAGATAAGGCTGAATCGAAGTTGTTTTTATTCTTCATTGGGGCCACCACCTAGCTTTGGTGATTATAAGTCATAACTTTTGGAATCAACAACCCATTATTTATAGTTGATCTTTCAAAAGAGATTTTACTAGGATGATGTTGAGGACATATACTATTCTGTTCGCTTTCTAGAGTGTAAAACACACACTAGATAAGGCTGAATCGAAGTTGTTTTTATTCTTCATTGGGGCCACCACCTACCTTTGGTGATTATAAGTCATAACTTTTGGAATCAACAACCCATTATTTATAGTTGATCTTTCAAAAGAGATTTTACTAGGATGATGTTGAGGACATATACTACTATGTTCGCTTTCTGGAGTGTAAAACACACACTAGATAAGGCTGAATCGAAGTTGTTTTTATTCTTCATTAGGGCCACCACCTACCTTTGGCGATTATAATTAAGTCATAACTCTTGGAATCAACAACCCATTATTTATAGTTGATCTTTCAAAAGAGATTTTACTAGGATGATGTTGAGGACATATACTACTCTGTTTGCTTTCTAGAGTGTAAAACACACACTAGATAAGGCTGAATCGAAGTTGTTTTTATTCTTCATTGGGGCCACCACCTACCTTTGGTGATTATAAGTCATAACTTTTGGAATCAACAACCCATTATTTATAGTTGATCTTTCAAAAGAGATTTTACTAGGATGATGTTGAGGACATATACTACTATGTTCGCTTTCTGGAGTGTAAAACACACACTAGATAAGGCTGAATCGAAGTTGTTTTTATTCTTCATCCACGACCACGACAATATTTGATTTGAGATAGATAAATGAGACAACAAAAGATCACAATCTCTCTAAATGATGCGTTTATTCTGTAAGGCGCGGCCAAGATTGAATGCTTGCAGCATCTAATACCTTATTAGTTTTGCACAATGCTAGGAGGACCAAGAGGAACAAGAGAATGAAAAACTGAAAGTACCCTTTTTCGATTCGATATTGCTATATTCATGGTAACCGTTAACTCCGGCATATTATTTGTGCTTGGATCTTAACACTATCACCCTACCAGGCTACCACACCCATTTTATTTAGAAAAATCCCGACTTAGGCGTATGTATAGCAAGGCGTGCATATTACACGCCTTGAGTGCACGTCGGTGATTAAGGCTGCCGGCCGGTTGATAGTAAATCACAGTTTCTAACTTATTATTAATAAACGATGTCTGTGATGAGTCAAATTAACAATCCTAATCATTTATGCTCTCATGGCAACAAGCACTGTTTTGTAGTAATAATTAGCCAATAGAAATCTCAATCCATATCCAAAAGTTCTCCTCCTCCTCATCATCAACACCCTTTCCAACTCTCGGCTGAGGGAAAGGATGAAAATTATGTGGACCCCCCTATTGTCAACCTTGCTTTGCCTACGTAATTACCGAGATATTCGACATAATAATAATAATTAACTTTCCTCTTAGATTAACTACAAGTTCCTCACCTTTTATTCTCCCTGTTTTAATAATAATAAAGGTGATTAAAAAAGGCAGTCGCAAAATCTACAATAAGGAAAGGAACTTATTTTTCAAAATAAAGAAAGAAACCAATTTTTTTTTTTTGGGGGGTAACAATAAAGAAAGAAACTTGGAACGTGAAAAGAGCGCAAGAGGCAGAAGAGGCCGCGTTGATTATAGGCAAAGAAGGAACCTTTGGCAAGTCTTGGGGAAGAAGACTCAAATTGCAAAACGCGAATAATGCGCGTAAGATTGTATTTTTGGGGGTGCCCTAGGAAATATGCCATTTGCCCCATTTGCAAATTGCAACTTCTATACATAGAGAAGAGAGAAGAGAGGGTTATGGCCATGGCCATGTAAAACTCTAATAATATTATTCAAAACACGTTCTACATAACTGCCGTTTTGATAAAGACAACAAAAATGAGGTTGGCCTTTGACAACACAACCCACAACCCACAACAAGTTGAAGAAGGTGGTTGTGGCGGTGGTCTTTCTTCGTATTCTTCTCTTTGAGAGGTCGAGGATCACTCCCCACTACCGGTATTTCTGTTAACTTTCCCTTTTCTCCCCCAAAACAACGTCGTCCCCAATATTTTCTCTTCTCCTTTCTCTTTCGAATGCAATCCGGTCAGAATCCGTCATAGAAAAAGCAGTTTTCCTGTTGCATTGGACGACCAGACCATCATCATTCGGCAGTCAGAGCCCATTGTTTTTTTGTTTTGTTTTCACCAGGCAGGCGAACTGTTTTGCATTTTAATATTCTGGGTGCAAGTGATATTGTTGTGTGCAAATATTATATATATATAAGTTGAAAGGTAGGTGCTTATTGGTGAATAACAGACAAGACAGCATGACTAAAATGAAGAGTCGGGTATCACGAATTGGAAGCTATGCAATTGCATCTTCCAAAAGAGACGGCCACCATCAACAGCCTTGCATTACGTGCACCACTTTCAACATCCTCGCTCCAATCTACAAGCGCCTCAACCATGACGTACGTATGCTATTCATTCTTGTTCATTTCGCAAAAGGTTTCATTTTTGAGTTTCATTGTAAAGCTTCGATATTTGATGCTGTGTTCTATCATTTGTTAATGGCTATTGTTGATTTTGCCTCAACCATTGTTCATTATTCATATACGTAAGCATATATAGTGAAAAGCTTCTCCTTTTTGATTTTATAGTCCATAATTTCTGATGGGTAATCTTAATTTGGCCTCAAGCCAGATTCTTCATTTATTTTATGCCATGATCAAACGTCTCCTCTTGCTTCTGTTTTACAATCAATTTTTATAATGGGTAATCTCAATTTCCATTCTTTTCATTCATTTGTTATAAATTCAGGACCCCAATTGTCGAGAAAGTGATTACAGAGCGTATTGGCTGGCCAGGAATCAAAGGATATTGGATTGTTTGTTGGCGGAGAGATCTTCCATCATTTGTCTTCAGGTTTGCATTTTAAACTTATTAACGGATTAGGATACATTTTGTGATGGCTTAATGCTAATACGGTGCTTATTATCTCTGTCGTTGGTGCACGGATTGGCACAGGAGTTCTGGGTAGGAAATGAAGAGCTAGTGAATATTTATGAGAAGAGACTTGGTGATGCTGGTTATGTCAACTTTCAGCTAGCACGGACCAACAACCGTGGCGATGGTACTGTCTTCTTCATTGTGAATATAAAGAAAAATCTGTTGTCTTTTTTTTTTTTTTGGGGATTAAGGAAACTCTTCATCCTATTTTTATTGATCTTGACCCCCGCCCAGAAAATGAAAAAGGGAAAAGTTTCTAAGAAATCTGTCAAATGAAGAGATGGGGGTATGAAAGTACCACCTTTGATTTAGTTAGACAGAGAATTGATTACAACATATAACTTCTGATTCAGGGTGATCCTTAAGCTGACTCTTGTGTTCTCCAGTAGCCATTTAAGCTTTGTCGGAATTTCCTTCTTATGTCAGTCCTAAATAATTGTTTATAACTTGAATTTGAAGCAGAGACACATTATACATCATGATTCATAAGGTGTTTCTGCTGGTGTACAGGTTTGCTGACCGCGGTGCATAAGGACTACTTTAGAGTTGTAAACTATCAGGAGATTCTATTCAATGATTGCGGTGATCGTGTTGCTCAGTTGTTACATGTGGAATTAGCTACCCCAATTTCACAGTTTCGAAACAATGATATTAGGCAGGATATCCTCATTGTGAACACCCACTTGCTATTTCCTCATGACTCAAGTTTGTGTATAGTTCGATTGCATCAGGTAACTTCATTCTGCATTGCATAAACTTTTTGTTAGTTATTACTTATTACTAACCTAATGGTATTATCCTCTGACAACATCTTGTCTCTTTCTAATCACAGGTCTACAGAATCTTACAATACGTAGAGTCTTATCAGAAAGAGAACAAGCTTAATCCCATGCCCATCGTACTCTGCGGGTATTTCTAATGCCTTATTATTTCTGAGATTTTTTCCCAATTTTCAAATTAGATTCATTTGTAACCTTTTGTTGCAATCTATTCTTGCTTCAGTGACTGGAATGGAAGCAAACGTGGACATGTTTACAAGTTTCTTAGGTCCCAGGGGTTTGTATCTTCTTATGATACTGCTCATCATTACACCGATGCAGATGCACACAAGGTCAATATCTTCAACTTTACACCAATAGTTTCGTTTCCATATGCCTGTAACTCATGTCTTTCATGTTTTTCATACAGTGGGTTAGCCACCGAAACCACAGGGGAAACATATGTGGCGTTGATTTTATATGGCTTCTCAATCCTAATAGTTACCGCAAATTACTAAAAACAAGTTGGAGTGAGGCAGTATTTGGCATGTTCAAGGTCAGCAATACATATTACACTTTTTTTAGTTGCATTGCCGTAAGACCTTTCTCAGATGTAGTTGCATGAAGTTATGTACTTTCAAATGTTGTGTTCCTTTAAACCAACCTTTCTTTCGGTCTCTGATGGGAGAGAATTTTCACATTTTCAGTATCTACTACGAAAAGCTTCCCTGACAGAAGATGATGCCTTTGCCTTTTTGAAGGTTGATAATCCTGGTGATTACATTACCTATTCAGGTTTCTGTGAAGCACTTCGACAGGTGTGATATCGATTGGAACAAAGATTTTTTTTTTCACTCTCTTTTCACTCTTGTTCTGAACAGAATCTCTGCCTGTTAGTAAATATGCCAACTGGTTTCTTGTTATATTATGCAGCTTAATATGACTGGTCATTGCCATGGACTTAGCCTTGAAGAGACCAAGGACTTGTGGGTCCAAGCAGACATAGATGGAAATGGTATTCTTGATTACGCAGAATTTCAGGTAAATTATCTTCACCAACTATTTCTCATTACAATTACTCTTCTATACACCACCAAGACACTTGTAAAATTGCATGTAGACTTTAAGCACCGCCATTAGCAGTGCGGGGAGTTTAAGCTTAATATGTAGGAAAAGGCTTTTGCTTCCTGGTGCCAGTGGGCGTAGTTTGTTCACCTATGTGGGTTCTTCTGCGATTTGGTTCTAAAAATTCAGCCATTTAAATCTATTTCAGCTCCATTAGACAGTTTCTTCATTACATTTTGTAATGTTTATGTTACTACTATTCACATTGCAGCAACGAATTTGGAATCCTACGGGGTCAGAGCAGAGAGATGAAAGTGGTAATGACTGTGATAGTGGTTCCAAGGGAAATCAGGAACAAACAATTGGTTTTAGTGTCAAAAATGCGGTTCTCTTCCCTCCTGAAGTGGAGAAAGGAACTTGGCCTGAAGACTACTCTCTTTCCGATCATGCACGACTCACCGTGGTGTTCTCACCAATAAGAATGCCATGCTCTCAGATGATTCCCTGATCAACCTCAGGTGCAGTGGAACTTTGGTTTAAGACTTGTACATAAAGAACCTAAAACCTGCAAACTGGAAAAGGTCAGTGGCTGCCAGATCGTGGGGAATGGATGTAAAACCAGTTTTCTTCAGCAAAGAGAGTGAAAAGAACTTCGATCGTAAAGCCAGAGAGAGAGTAAAAAGACCGTTGATCAGGGTTCCTTGTTTCTTCCTGTGCCAGTGTTCGAACCTTCTCAATCTTCCATATACAAGTGGGCTACATAAGTGCCAACAAACACACTAGAACTGGCCCTTTGATCTGCAATTGATCAATTGAACTAGCATCTGCATTACACTCGGTCCTATATTGCCTTCCATTGTTGCCCATTGATGTGAAAAAGGAAGCTAAGAATAACAAACAAAGAGTTGTGTAGCTGTGCATTTGCATATGTGTCTAGAGAGTTGTATAGCAGTGCATATGCTGGGCTTGCAGCGATCCCCTACTATTTGTAGCATGGTGAGATGAGATTTACCAAATTAGAGGGTTTTTGTACTTGCAGTGCATTCAGCATCAATGTTAATACAATCATATCGCAACTGATTTCGCTCTATTGCAGCACGTTGACATATTATGACAGCAACAAGAGTTTTTGACAGACTTTTATCTTCTGGTTTGGTTTCCTCAATATTATGATATTAGAATATGCAAAAAACCACCAGATCTTTTGACTGTGTCCATTAATTCAGATAATTTGAAAATAATATCCTTGTTTGGACTGTGATTCAGAAACCCATTACTTGTGATTAACAAAGTAGCATGGCGGAAGTTTTAAATGCAGTAATTAGAGTTAATTGTGTTCTTCTGCCAAGCCTAATGTGAACAAGTTTCTCTTTTTGTTCTTCTTGTATGATGCATCAAACTAGAAAGAAAAAAAAGCACAAAGTCTGCAAAAAGATGCAAGTAAGTGGAAGATGACCTCTCTCTTTGTTGGTTAAATGATAAGGATGATTCAAAACCCTTTTGGCTTTCTAACATAACATATTAACATGGTATATATGTAAAAAGAGTTTAAGATTCGATTAAGGATAAAGGTCCTACTACTTGTTGTCTCCTTCTCAAATTTGAAATCACTTTCCACACCCATTCAAATTGCATTAATGCAATGCAACCCTGCACAATGGAAAAGATTCTTTTTTTCAATTCACTTTTCTTTGTGTTCACACTATTACCCATGATAGGATGAGAAGATGAATTTATGATACTCTATATAAATGAAAAATTAAGAAAAAAACTGTGGAATCATTTAGAATCCTAATTATAAAATGTTGGATTAATAAATTGTAATCTTTCGAAAAGTATAAAGTGAAAAAAAAGACCACACTAATTTAACATATCAGCAGCAGCTTAACTATATGCTTTCGAAGCTTTTCTCTTTTTCGTATACAGAAATGAATATCCCAAGTCTTTGGGTTTTTATTTATTTTTTTATCTGGGTTTCCCAAATGTTATTCATTGTAAATATCGCGGAATTTGTTCTCTTTTTCTTTCTTGATACACATAAATGAATGCCAATGGCGTCTTTATCATCGCTACTTCATCAATAACATCAAGGCACATCACTATAATTTTTTATTTTTAAGATCACCATTATTAATTTTAAACTCCATATTTCCATGCATGATGCTAGCTAGCCATCACTATTGTCACTTTATTTATACCAAACTTTTTTTCTTTTTTTTCTTTTTTGGTCTAAACCATGAGGTGGTCCTGGATGGGCCCCAACTATGAATGGCACCTTTAAGCCATAACCATAACCCAGACTAATTCCCACTCACACCGGGTCGGCCCGTAAGGGGTAAAGTGTTGGCCAAAGTGGTGATTCCGTACGAGAGCAGGGATCGAACCCCTGACCTCTCTTAAGGAATGAGAGTGCCGAACCACTCACACCAACCACCTTGGTTAACTATTTTTCTTTTAGTAGTGAGGGAAAATAGGATCCCCTCGTGACCTCTCTTAAGGAATGAGAATGCCGAACCACTCACACCAACCACCTTGGTTAACTATTTTTCTTTTAGTAGTGAGGGAAAATAGGATCCCCTCGTTATACATTTTGTTCTCATTGTTTGTGATTAAAAAACCACGTTGTTTTAAATCACAAAAAAAATACACACACACAAACGACATCTTTTTGACATTTATAGTTAAATTTCTAAAATTATTGAAAATATGAACAAAAAAACCTGACTCGAGGAGGACGCCACCAACAATCCAAATATTACGTTTGGAAAATAAGGAAAATGATTATCACACAACAGTCTGATGTGTTATGTTAAAAACATTGATTTCAATTAAGTAAATTCTTATTTAAAATATAAAGTCCAAAGAAGAGCGAAAAATAATAAACATACTCAAAATGTTATTTTCACACATTCTACAAGAACTAGGTAATTTACTATTTGTTTTGTTAATTAAAAATCCTCTACACTAGATAATTTTTATAGACAAATCTTGTATATTAATGTTATTTTCTTTTCCTTGGTGATAAAGTTTCAGTTTACCTATCACTGTATCATACTCGTTCATCCTATCACATCAGTCTCTTTCTCCTTTCTCAGGCCACCACATTCAAATTGTTTTTTCTTTTTGATAAGAACATTTCGAATTGCTAAAATACAAAAATAATATTATGAAAAATAATAACAATAATATATAGAAGGGTGTAATGTTCTTAGCAATTTCATATAATAATGAAACAAGCGGGACCAGGCTACCAGGCTACCAGGCTACCAGGTAAGCCCACTTCTATTACGTGTCCGTATAGGATTGGCTTGCATGCACAACCCCGCCCTCATTACCTTCGTCGCAACGCTTCCTGAATTTTCCATTATACCCTTACTGTCACTTGAAAACTACCGCTTCTACCCAAACGCGCTATCCTGTCGGACCTTTGTTCTATGGGAACGATGGCATTCCCGAAATTACGAATAAAATAATGGCATTAAAATACCCCTACTCTTTGTGGGACGCGGTATGTACGTGGAATTTAAACGCGGGTTGGTTGTCTGGTAAATATAAAACGAAGACTGAAGGACCAACTCTCTCTGTTCTCTCGTTCAGCAGAGTCTCCCAACTTTCTTTACTTTCTCTCTGGTGAATGAAAAAGTATGGGCCACATCTAATCCCCTCTAAAAACCAATTCTTCAATTCAACTTCAAGAATCCTTCCGATTCCTAGGGTTCTCTTTTGGGTTCCTTGAAAATAGCTTGCTTTTCTACTGTTTCTCTCTCCCTCTCTCTATCTCTGTCTCTCCAGTCTTTGTGAATGTTGGTGGTGGATATGGCAGTGCTCTCTACGAATACTCTGCCACTAGGGTTCAGATTTAGGCCTACGGATGAGGAGCTTATTGATTATTATTTGCGCTCCAAAATCAATGGCAATCATAAGCAAGTCACTGTTATTCGTGAAATTGATGTTTGCAAATGGGAGCCCTGGGATTTGCCTGGTATTTCTCTCTCTCTCTCTCTCTCTCTCTCTCTCTCTTCACATTTTTCGAAGATAAAGACTTGGAACAATATGTACTTTTTCTGTTTATGGGTTTTGATTGAATGTAGTAAAAAATGGTTAGACTTCGGGTTTTGATTGAATGTAGTAAAAAATTGTTAGACTTCCCTTATGATTAAAGCCTTATAGTATAAAACGATCCATTTATGTCTTATTTAGATGTTATATTCACGATTCACTTTCCTTTCATTTGTAATTAGGCAGGGATTTTGTTTAATTTTTGAAACTTGGGTAAATTTATAAACTTTTGGTAGCAACTACTTGATTTTCTCACCAATCATCTATCTTTGGATCATAAATTTGGAATTTTGGTGCTCACTTTTAAGTTTATGTTGTGCTGCAGATTTATCAGTGATACAGACAACGGATCCAGAGTGGTTCTTCTTCTGTCCACAGGACAGAAAGTACCCAAATGGACACAGGTTGAACAGGGCTACAGGTAAAGGGTACTGGAAGGCCACTGGCAAAGATCGTCAAATCAAGTCAGCAACAATCTTGATTGGAATGAAAAAGACCCTGGTCTTCCATACTGGTCGTGCTCCTAAGGGTAAGAGGACCAATTGGGTTATGCATGAATACCGCACAACACAAAAGGAGCTTGATGGCACTAATCCTGGCCAGGTTGGTTTTTTCTTCAACTCCTGTTTTGCTTCTTAGTTTTCTGATTATTTTGTTTATGACATTTAATTGATCTTGGCTTCTCCAGTAATTGTTTTACTCTTTATTTATTTTGTTTCTATGACTAAATTTTGTTTCCAAAATCGTTAATGTTAATTGTAAATTGTATATTTTAGTAAAGGAGGAATTGGTGATTCAGGCGATGAAGGGAGGAATTGTTTGATGGTTTGGATGTCATATCATAATTGATGGAGCCTGCCAATAAAATACTGGAATGAGGCAACCAAAAAAGAACAAATTAGGTCATCTATAGACAAAACATGTACATTTGTTAGTGATTAGCGAACCCCAATTATGAAGTATTAAGAAGCAATTCCTCAATCTTTATTTGAGTCTCTCTGCATGGAAATAAGTACAGTTTATTTAAAAAAAATCTTTAATTGTTCTGCGTGTGTGGTTGTATATTGCACTTTTGTAGATATCCAAAACACATATGCACATATCACTGGCCTGTAATTTAAAATGACTAAAATTTCAAGTATTAAATCAGATGACCGTGTTTGTTGCTAATGTCCATGTTGTATTATGCAGAATCCCTTTGTTCTTTGTCGTCTGTTTAAAAAACAAGATGATACTATCGAAGATTCAAACTTTGCTGAAGTTGAACCTACAGTTTCATCTTCTACTGCTGCCATATCTTCTCCTCAAGACACGCAGTCTGATCATGCACTGGGTCCAACATCACCATCATTTGAGAGGCTAGATGAAAAGCCGACTAAAGTAGAATGTACCATTGCTGATTGTTCAAATGGGATGGAACCAGACACTTTACAACCTATTGAGTGCCCTAGCAACAGCTATAATGGTTATGATGCAGAAGATCAACTGAGTGTGCCGCTGGAGGAATTAGACATGTTTTATGATCCCCCGCAACAGCCACTTTTTTCCCCACTGCACTCGCAGATGCAAGCAGAGCTCTATTACTGTGGCAGCAATAACTTCAACAACGGTCGCCAGGGGGTGACGTTTCAATACGGCACCAATGATCAAGATGCAGATATTTCTGACTTCTTGAGCTCAATTTTTAATAGTTCAGGGGAGCACAGTGATGTAGATGCAAAAGTGGCAGTACCAGTGAGTGGAAGCTTTCATGTTACTTAATTTTTAATCAAAATCGTCTTTTCAAGTTTTGCCTCCAAACTTGCAGTCGTAAATATCCGCAGCACTACACTGAAATAGTTGATTTCGGTGTGATGTGCTTTTAAATAGTTGTATCTAGAAAATTAAATTTCCATTGATCTCATTTCATACAGTGCGAGACAGAGCTTCAAAATCCTGTTCAGTCTGAGGGGAATATTGACAGAAAGGGTCCACTGCAGAATGAGTCAACTCGAATAGATTGTGGTAAGTATTTTCTGATATGAACATTTTTGAGTTTCGGAGATACGTGCTTTACTAGATGAATGTTATTAACAG